GCTATGGAGTTGCAGACTTTTCTTCAGATACTTGGAGTGGCTGATGAAAATATGGTAGGGAGAAGGACAAAAGGGAAGGGAAGGGAAGGGAAGGGAAGGGAAGGGAAGGGAAGGGAATAGGTGGAATTGAGGGTGAAATTGCTAAAACATCCATATTCATCTTTTTAAAAATCAGCTCAGAAATGGGATTTTATTTAGAAATTCAATTCCGTACTAAAAGGTATTTTTACAGGAAAACAACCTCTGTTAGAAATCTTGTTCTGAAAATATTTTAACTGAACTGGAACATTTTCTTCACTTTGTAGGTGTCTCTAAGTTTTCAACACTGACATTTGTGCAGACTCAATGAAATAAGTTTTGGTTTTAATTTCAAAATTTCTCACAGGATGGAACAATGATAGGTACCATGACAAAAGCAAGGCAAAGTAACAGCCTCACCAGAGGGCTGTGAGGAAGTGGTTAAGCCAGTATTATTTTATGCAATATGGCTATAATGACAGGCTTCTGTTTTTTGGGGGGTGTTCTCACTTCAAATCTATGATTTAATTTATCTTCTTGAAGCTTTCTTGCATTCTGGTGTGTGGACTTCCCACGTGTGTATCATATGGGATCTGCGAGGCTTTTGGAACCAGTTCTGCTGAGAGAGGACCCCTTCAAAACATAAGGAGGTTTGTGGAGGTTGCTCATGTATATAAAAAAAAAAGGCCTTTAAAAATTCTTGGATCTCCCAACCTAAGAACTTACCCCCTACTCTTATTGCTACAATGACAAAATCTACCCTTGCATCAATAGGATCAGAATCGGCTCTTAATTAGGAGAGGACAGATGGGAAGATCAGCTTCCTTTCTCCAAAAACCCGCCAGTTAAGTTCTGGCAGACTTCAACTGCTGGCAGTATTTTATTATACATGAAACAAGCACATTTCTGCTGTTTATTGGATTTCACAATAAAATAATCACTTGGGAAAGAAATCTTACACGCACTTGGCTACATCCCTTTCACATACATGATCTAGATTTCTGTACTTGTCACTAAATTGTTCTTTTAATGAAAAATATTCACTTCCTTATGGCAAGGAAGTAAAATGGAAAACAAGATGACATAATCAAAACCTGTTAACAGGCAACTTTGTGCCCTTTTATTTTTATTATTAATATGCTTTTATTAGCATAGGCAATATTCCCATTGATACTGCTATGCACTGTGTTTATTGAGGAAATTATAGACCAGTATCAGACTTCCTCAAAGGATTTCTTGTTTTCCCGTATTTAAAAAAAGAAAAATCATAAAATGTTGAATTGTTAGGACTGTGGACTTTGCAGATGAGGCTTTCTAGAACTAGTGGCTTTTCATGAAAATCTGAACATGGGATAGAAATCCCAGGCTTTAGGTGTATTTGGAGTTGTGCTCTCAGTGTCTCTGTGTGGCTGTGTGGGGAGAGTAGAGGAGGCAGGTGGAAGTGGGGTTCCACCAGGACCAGCCAGGGCATCTTTATAGTTCTTCCTCCAGTTTATCCTCAACAACATCCTCACTATTTTAAGTACAACACTATGAAAAAATGCACTGATAAACGGGGGAAGGTACAATAAGCAGTACTGGTTTCTCCATTCAGAGGGTCCCTCCTTGAAGGGGCAACACATTACGCTAGATTTCTGTTTCATGAAGCAGCAAAAATGGGACAGCAGCAAAAAAATATTTTGAGTTGAAATTTGAATGTGGTTCTGGTTTTCCTTTGGTTGGATGATTTCTGACCTAGCACAAGTTGTTTTCAACTGGGAGATCATTTTAATCGGACACACTCAACGCTGTAAAGACTCAGCAGCTCTTTTGTTTCTTAGAGGGGAGAAGAATTCAACGCAGGGAGTATAAAACTAGCACAAGCAGAATCAGAATACAGTGTCAAGCTTGATCATAAAATATATTACACAAATTAAGTTATTTTATAAGTTTGTCTTGTTTGGGGGAAAGTTTAGCAGCTTTTTAAAACTAAAAGTTAGCAGATTACAAGGTAAACAAAGCAAGTGTCTGGAGGAATTGATCAAGGTAGGAAGTACCTTGGCACTTGTGCAGTATTGATAAAGTGGCACAGGCTTGTCATGTCTGCATCGAACTATCCCTGTTTTCCTTAAATGATTCACTTTTTTAAGCTTCATTACCCTTGTCTGGCTCATAGAAATGTCAGCATACAGGGCAGGGGTAGGCTTACTTCATTCTGAGCCTCTTCTGTGACAGTGCTTTAGATACGAAAACAGTGTAATAGGGTTTTTGTAACCAAATGGGATAACATGAGAACATGTGTTTTCCTGCCACTTTTAAATAACGAATACTACTGCTCTACTTCTGATTTTAGCAGGCAGTTGAAATGCCTGGAGAATCTCAGAGGGAAACACTGCTTTAACAAGGTATGCTCAGGCAGCTGCTCCTTGCAGGCAACAGTTTGTTTCCTATGAGCTTCTTCTGATGCTCTAGAGCAGGCTGACTGGGGAAGTACTGGTCCACAAGCAGTCTAATCTCGAAATATGGGTAGGATGAAAGGTGCAACCTCATCAATTCTGACAGCCAGCTTAGACCTGTGCCTTACTTTCACTGTGAAAATTTAGTAGTAAAAAATTCAAGATCTTAGTGTTAGAAAAAGGTCAGGCTTTGATATCAACACAATACTGAGACTCTCTCATATTTACTTTAAGCTGCAGGTGATGGTGACTGTAGCATCACAAAATACTTCATAGGTGGGAACAGCACTTCTGGGTCAGGATGACAAAGACAGTTAGCAAAGTAGGAGATACGGTACAAAATATAGGGTAAGGAAAGAACAGAACTGTCAGCAATGCATCACATCATGTGAGACAGAGAGCCCACTTTGGCTAATGACCAGAATAAGCAAAATGCTTCTTTCCTAGCAAAAATAGTTAGTCAGTAGGCTGATGGTAACATCAAGGGTTTCGCTCTTCTGTATAACTGAAAGGGTGTGGAAAACCTTAATCTGCAGTCATTACCTTCTCTAGATGATTAGAAAGATCAGACAGTGGCTGGAAAAGTGAACTGGTATGTTTTCAGCAGTGAGATCAGAAAAGACCTTTTGAAGAAAGTTTAAATAAAATGTACTCATTGGCATGAGCTACTCAAACGGTCTCTTGAACAATCTTCTGAACCATTCGCTAGAAGTGTTGGGTGGAGACCCAGGAATTAACTCTTCTTGCACTCAGTTCCCATTGAATCCATCCATAAACTGCAATTGGATTAAAATCTATATTTTTTTTTAAAGATTTGAAAAAGAAGTAAAAAATTAATTTTAAAATGCATGTAATGAATATGCATTGTTGATCTTTGTGGAGCATTGGTGCAAATCGTGATCTGGCATCAACAGATCAGCAGATCCTGATGCTGGGTCAACTTAAGAGATTTTTGTGGAGGCTTTTCCAGCCAGTGACATGTAAGGGTGCACATAAAACCACTTGTGATGAGTAAACTGGCAAAAGAAAGAATGACGGCTGCCTGAGACCTACAGGAGTTGTGGAGAAAAGCGGAGAGTTGGCTATATGTGTACAAGAATTGTAAGCTGTCCTTTTAGCTCCTGAATGATATGTTCTTCTCATTGTCTAGAATAAGCAGAGGCTAAACACACACCAGAGCTAAACTCCAAGCATTAGAAACTTCAGCAAAGAATCTAGCAGTCTTTCAGAGGTTACTCTGGTCAGTTACAAGGCTGGTGATAAAATAGCATGGCAGCATTTCCAGGTATAACCGCTGTATTGCCATAAGCGATGTTCAAGCTCAGTGCAGATGTGCTGGGGCTGGTGGGGAGGGGAGAGGCACCCCCTGCGCCTGTCCCCAGCAGTGCCACCCATCAACACTCAACCTGGAAGTGGGATGTGGGCATCAATGTATGCCTGGCTCTCCTCCCCCCATCCAGACCTGGGGCCATCCTCAGCCTAGACAAATGCTTCAAGTGCTATGTGAACACAGAGGCTTTTCTTCATATGTCAGATATAAATATCTCCCTGCTCTTTCTGTTTTTTTCTGGACTTAAATAAGGTGTGCCGTGTGTTGCAGCTCCATTTGCTTTGATGGCAGATAGCTTGGTGTCCGTGGCTCCCAATATTTCTGCAGCTCTGCTCTTTTGATGCAAATCATCCTCCAAAGCATTGGAGTCCTGTCTTTAGGCCCTTCAATGGATAGCATGTGACAATCCAAAGCTGTCATTAACTTTGTCTCTGAGCTCTGCACAGTCAACCACCACCACAGAGTGTCAGATGTCATCAGGGGAAGCACTAAGATTATCACAAGTAAGTGAAAATATAAATATTACCAGCACAGGTGGCTTTCCTAACACTGAACATACTTATATACAACTCATCCAACCTTGGAACATTAATCCTACAAACACTCACACACGTATCTTTGCTCTTGTGTAGAAATGTTTGTGGGACTGGGCTTTGGCTG